GTGGTGGTGGTGGTGGTGGCACTGCGGCGACGACGACTGTTACTACTGTTAAGAACATTCCTGCTGTTACTTGAGTGGTTCGGTTTCAGGATTGGGGCCCTTTGGGAAGAATGCTCCGGATAAGGAGGGTTCAGCAGCGGGTCTCGAAGTGGGGACACATTCATCAGAAGGGCTGAAAGCAGAGAAATCCTGAAGCCTTATAAGCCCTAAAGGCCCTGGGGTATGTTTCGTTTCGTTGAGTTGATTCTTTCACCTTATCACCGTGTGACGATTCGCCTCGCCTGGATTGTCCGAGTTGTGAGCGCCAGAAGGCCCAAGGCCCAAAACCCTAGGGTTTAACTCTAAACCCTTTTCCCTCCTAAACTCTAAACCCCCAGAAGCCTTATGTAAACTTTAAGACCATCTAAGCTTTAAGACCATGCCACCTAAGGAGGAGCAGAGGCGCCGCGAGGAGGACAAGGTCAACAGGGAGATCGAGAAGGGAAGGCCTCGGAGAGGTTACAACGGGGTTTCAGGAAGGTTATGTGGTGGCCTTCTGACCCACTTGACGCGGGCTCCGGAGAATGACAGGGAGCCTAAGGTTTATATCCGGCTTTAAGGGGGGGTGGGATCCATCCATGAGCCCGGCGCACGTGTTAAAGTTGTACCGATGATGACGGCCCAAGCTCACTCCGGTTTTGATATGGCAGTTAGTGTTGAGACACCAGAACAGGATGCCTTGTGGCCCCACCGCAAGGACAGGCTTCATCACACTAATGGCACATTAAACACCGTTGAAGCAGAAGACCTTGCCTGGACATGTCCGAGTGTAAGCGTCAAACAAAAGGCAGCAAGCCTGTGAAATGCCCGGGAGCAGACTACACAGAGGATTCGGCGTCTGCGCGTTTAGACATGTCACGCTAGGCCATGTGTTATTATTTCGCGGTCGGGAGTCTCGCGTGAGCTTGGCCAGATCCCAGGGACACCAGAAAACAGCTTCAAAGAAGTTTGGGGTGAGGTTCCGGGTCTCGGGAGTCGATTCGGGTGAGAACGACACGGAGGCTGCGTGCAGGACGGGCTTATTTTATCGAGGCTGAACGGCTCCGGGCTCTTGGACAGGTTTCGTTGGAGGCCTAGGGCAGGTCATTATGAAATCCTGGTGAGCTCCTCTTCTGTCTGTAAAGGCAGCTCGCACGGCAGAACCTGTTCCTTGGCTTATTTGGGGACCGGTGTTCAGTGGCACTGTGAAGGCCCGCGATGGGTGGATAAGGTCATAGGGCTTTGAGGTTTCTGTTTCACTACAAGCACTCTCATAAGGAGCCGCTAAGGCCCTCCTTGTTGTTTCACCGTGCAAGTCTTGGCTGGACCTTGAGATCTATCTGAGACTGACAGGACGATTGGCTGTTTTGGATGCAACGTTATGTGGGGTGAACGCAAGCACCAAAAATGGGGGGGGGGGGCGGAGCGCATAGGCCTGACTTCTCTTGGTCTGCTGTTTGGGGACAGCTTCGTTGTTCAAGACTGTGTGACGGACCTCAGCTCCTCCCGGCGACTCTGTGACACATATGCGTGGCCCAGGCTCAAGAGGAACATCGTGCGACCGAAGACGCCAATACCTTGGCACGAGCGTCTTTATCCTGACAAAAAGGCCTGAACAGGGAGATGCCACACGATGTCATCGTAGGCTTCTAATTGCAAGGTTCGGGGTCACGGAAAACATCTGTTCCAGTGCGATACACACGTGAATTGCAGCTGCCTGAACGGTTGTCATGTTATCACATCCACGCCCGGCTTTGAACAACTTATACCGCATGCTGCACCCCTTTACCTATCTAGCGCTCGCAAGCCGTGACAACTTCGATGCGGATCGTGGCTGCCAGGTGGGGCCAAAGGATGAAACGCTGAAGCCCCAGAAGCACCTGGGTCTGAAAGCGCTCAGGGCCATGTTTCCTCAAGGCCGCAACAGTTGAGTCTGGTGTCTTCTGGAGCTGTCCCTGGTTGCAATGCAGTCAGCCTTGTGCTGAAATAGACACAGCGGCTGTATTGAACGGGGTTCTGAGTCGGAGCCTCTGGTTTACGAGCCAAGGAAAGCCGGCCAGCGCAGCACGGCTGGAGATTACGTCTTGGCCCCTCGGCCTTTTCTCGAAAAAAGCTGGCTTGCTCCTGTCCTTGTCCATGGACCAATCCAAGTGAGCCACCTGCTAAAAGCTGCTAAACACATAGCTTGTCTTCTGTGTAGGGGGTGCCGAAGGCCTGTAAGTAGCTAAGTCAGGCCTTGTGTGAGAGGACGCCGACCCCGACAGTCACGGGAGCTTGAAGAGATGAGCTTGAAAGGAGAAGCCAATAGTCCAAATATGTCGGCGATCAAAACCTTCCAACCCGAGCTTATGTCCTAGTCCTAGTCCCACCTGAACCTCAATCATGTGTGTCATGCCATTCTGGACTGGCCCTCCCACTCACCAGAACAAGAAATGTTTGCCGAAGGATGCCGGCACTCAACTCAGGATACGATGCTTTCAGCTCTGCGGCACCGTGTCTTGGCCTGCGTGTGTGTGTGCATGCACGCTTGGGCCTTGGGCTTTAAATCCGTCAGTCTGTCCGACTTAGCTCTTCGAGGGTGGTGTACACGGGAGGTTGCTTGGAGGTTGAGGTCATTATCCCGAAAACTCAACCTTACGCTCCTGACACCTCGTCAATGCCTCACAAAAACCGTGTGTACTGAACAAAACAGACGGGGACCAAGGTTGCTCAGCCTTCTTGCCTCCAGATCGGAAGCTTCTGTTGCATGGCAGCAAGGAGATCAACGACCCCTTTGCCTGAGCCATGTCTCTCCTGGACACCATGATTCCGCAAGTGAAAGTCAGGTACGAACCAGTGAAGAAGATCATGGACGAATACAAGGAGGCCTTTTCACCCTGTCAAACCGAACAGGGCACCATGGATCAGCATGGCCGATAGTCAGGGTCAAGATGTCTTCTTTCAATCGTCATGGCTGGTGTCATAGAAGCCCGCATCATGCTTGTGAACCTGATGCTGGTAGTGCTGATGCCACAGCTTTGTTGTTTAAGGACGGTTAGTTTCCATATTGTACCTTCACGGAACTTTTCACGGGAACCGAGTCGGGAATGCATCGGTTACTGCCCATGGATTGTTACAAACCAGTAAACCTGGTGAATGCCAACAAGACAAGGTGCTTTTAATCCCTAAGCCGTGGCTGCTGGAGTACAGCATGCATTTTTTAACTTTCAGGTTTTAGTGGCGCCAATCATCCCGTGACTAGTTGTTGGATATGGTGCATGCAGCACTTGGCCATAGATGAGTCCTCCCCCTTGCGCGAACAACAACTGCCCGTGCAAGGGCAACGGCATCATTGCCCGGTACAAAACCACCTGCCAAGAATGCTGGAGACCGATCTCCCCAGGGCAATGTATCATCCCAAATCCTGGAGCCGGGTCGGGCTGGTGCCACGGGGAGTGCCCGGACAAGCTCCGAGGTGTCCTCGTCGAGGTAGAGCCTGTAATCGACCCGGGGCTTTCGAATGCAGGCGGCCATGCCCCTGAGCCTCTGTCAGAAACTTCGAAACCGCAGAAGTGCCTGACAGAGGAGCAGCTGAAGGTCCTAGACTTCCAGCCGAATCCTGGCCAGATTCTTCGGATCGAGGCAGTCGCTGGTGCTGGCAAAACGACAACGAGTGTCAAGTTGGCTGACCGGTTGCTGCAGGCCAGGAGTGACGTACGAATCCTGTACGTCGTATTTAATGAGAAGGCCAAGCAAGAGGCTTCGGCAAGATTCCACAAGCGAGTGTTGGTCAGCACTTCCCATGCACTCGCCAAGAAGCGGGCGTGGCTCCTTGACCAGGTCGAGGGAAGCCACCCAAGGCTCGACATCGTCGCAGAACGACTTGGGCTTGTCCAACTGGCAGAAGCAGAAGTCGACCGCGGCAGAGACGTCGATGCTAAACGTGCTAGAAAGTCTGCGGAGCCTGCGGCGGAGAGTTCGTTGCGGCAGAAACCGCGAGAAAAGCGGATTCAACAGTTCAGCAGAAGGCAAGCCAAGTTTGTCTTAAAAACCTTGGACAAGTTCTTGAGCTCTGACTCGCCGCAAGTCGAGGAAAGCCATGTTTTCTACAAGGCGCTGGAGAAGAAAACCTTCCTGCCAAAGCTTTACGTGGAGAAGGCTCAACAGGCCTTCGAACTCATGTGCAATCCAGTGGACTCATGGCCACAGACTCATGATGGTTACCTCAAGCTGTTCCAACTTCACAATCATAATTTGGGGCCAAGTGCACCTCCACCAAACTGCTGTGACAGCGAGATGCTTCGCAGAGAAGGTCGTTTCGGGCGCTTCTACCAATGCTTGACATGCGAGAAGACACGCAACGCCAGTGACGTGGAAGGCTTCGATGTCATTATCATCGACGAGGCACAGGATTTCACGCCATGCCAAGCTGATGTCTTCTTCAGGCAAGCGCAGAATGGTGCGATTGTGTATCTCGTTGGCGACCCACGTCAGCGGATGTACAGGTGGCGTGGTGCGCGGGATAGCTTCGAGGTGCAAGATGTAGGGCAGTGCCAGTTCTTCCTGACCGAGTCCTTCCGCTTTGGGCCTGAGGTCGCTGAGTGCGCCAATGCTGTGCTAACCCTCGCGGCTGGTGGGCGCGCCCCAAAGGTGTCAGGACGGGGCCCCGCTGGCAAGGTTCTGAAGCCCGGTCAGCCCTTGCCCCCCGCTGGTCTCGGGGGACGCGCTGCTCCCGTCGCCGTTGTCATCACGAGGACGATTCTGGAGCACGCTCTAGACATGTTTTTTTTTTGTGGTCAAGTGGACAAGGGACATGTGCAGCAAGAGACGAGCCCGAACTGCTAAGGAACAAAGGCGTGTTTCAAGAGCTGATCAAGAGGCTTCGCTCTGCTGGCGACTCGGGCTTGAGCTGGGCGACCGTGGACAACAAGGCTCCGTCCTACATGTTCCAAGACCGCGCTTTCAGACCTTACCTCAAGCTGAGAAACGGGGAGAAAGTCACGATGAAGGGCCGCTTGACTGCGTTCAGCCCAGTCCTTAACATGATCAGTTTATCTACGACACACTGTTCTGGAATGGTTTTGTCAGTTTTGTCTGTATACTGATCGCATAGTCCCCGGGACGAAGTCCATGCGTAGTTATCTCCGAGACAACCGGTGTTGGAAAGTTAACCTAGGGTGCCTGAATAGTTACCTATACTACTTTGGGGCTTCCTTATCATAACTATAGTAAAAATGTACCCCCAAAAAACATTATTCTAGGGCTCCTTCAGCTCCAGGAGAGGAGATTGAGACGTGGGAGGAGCTGGAAGACCTCATCGACGACGATGGTGATACTGAGATGAGAACCCTTGCAGATCTTGTCGCTGAGCTGCATGGTTTTGCAGGTTTGTTTTAGTGGCATGCTTGCATGAGCTTGAAGCATGGGGTGAGGACATCGGGAACTACTGGAGATTTCAAAGAAACTGGTTTCAGAGGAACGAGTCTAGTTCGTCCGATGTGGTGGATTTGCTGCTGCTCCTGCTGCGGTCCTTCCTGCAGCTGTTGTTTGAGTTGCCGATTACATGGCTCTTGCTGGCATTCGTATTCCGGTTCTTCATTTCCTTTGACTAGACTTGGGCCAAGCCCTCTTCTTTACTGTAGTTCGTTCGTCATCTGATGGTCTGTCGTCTATGGCTGTTATTCTCGCTCTTCTTCAACCTCTTCGTCTCGTAGATGCTTGTGCCTTCACTTCAGGTCTTGTCCTCCGCTATTGGCGGTGTAGCAATGCCACATGCCTGAACCACTGAGGTGGAGGAATTTGAAGGCAGCTTGGAATGAATTGCTCAGAAAGTTTTGAGTTGCAATAAAACCACCATACGGATGGTCCAAGTATCAGTCAGTAACAGTAGCCATAATTTCGTTAAGTCTTAGCCGTTGGCCGTATTGGCACTTCTGAGACTGTTTGCGCACTGTATGGAACCGGTAGTGAGGATGATAGGATGCTGATAGTGGTAATGACGATAGCGGTGAGGACAAACGTGGGCTCACCATTTTGCATCTAGTTCCCTCTTCCGATGTCGGATGGGAGTGCCAACACTACACATGTCAGCTAATATAGGGGCCTTAATATTCTCAATAATTACCTATACTATTTGTTACTATTTTGGGGGCTCCTTAGTATAACTATAGTCTGTGGTATAAAGGGACCCCACAATCCTGTTCTAATTCTTAAGGCCCCTACATGAAGCTAAGGCAACATCCCGGCCCTGCTGGAGAAGCTGGGAACGCCAAAGGAAGACTGGCGGGAAGCTGATGTGGCTTTCATCACGGCGCACAAGGCCATCGGGTCCTTTTTCAAAAAAGTTAAGCTTATAGAAGCCGGTGACATGTGATTATACCTGTATCTATATCTATATCGACATCTACATTCTGCATCTATAACTAACTATATATGATAAAAAAATATGTATATATATATATATGTGTACCTATATTTACATATATGTCCAAACGTGTATCGAGTAGCTGTCAGAGTCATAGCTCGTCGAATGCGGACGGCAAGCATAAACTGAGGCAAAAGGCTTGGAGTTCGACTATGTGGAGCTGGCGTCCGACTTCACGATGCCTTATGGAGAGGATGAAAAGCTCCTTCCCTACGAAAGGATCCAAAAGCCGTATTTTCAGGAGGAGCTCAACATCCTGTATGTGGCCATCACCCGTGCCAAACGATACCTCCGGCTTTCCCCGGAAGTGGCGAAGCTCCTGGCAGATCTTGGTGCCACACCAAGTGAAAAGCTGCACGCACCGCAGGGACGCGCCGACTATCTGGACGAGACTCGTGTTGGAGACGCGGCGAGGTGGAAGCTATTCGAGAAAGAGGTTCGCCAAAGCCAGAGCTTCGACATTACCGTAGAGACCGTGCCATTCCCACGTGGCCCGGAGCATAATATCCTGGCGTTGCCCGATTCCCTGACCATGGAAGAGGCTCAAAGGCTTGTGTCCGAGGCCCTGTTGCGCTGGCATCCAGATAAGTTTCTTGGCTGCAGTGGCTTTGTAGAATTCTTTTTCTTTTGGCTCGGGATACTTGTCTTTTGTGGTCCTGAATGTTTGAATGTTGGGCTGTGACGGGTTTCGGGGCTGCCGTGCGGTACGGTAGTCCGGCTATCGTCGTAATGAATTGCAACTTAGCAATGACGCGTTGTCACCCGTCCTCCTTCGCCTCCCTAGCTACCGGTGTCAGTCAGCAGCAGTACTCAGTACTGCTGGAATTCTAGCAAATCGCCCTGCCCACCTGTCGAAGGTTCCTATCTCAGCTGGGGCGGACTGGGCTCGCCTCCGGAAGTCTTCGAGAGAAGCTAAATGCCGTGACGCGGGAGCTCCTGAACATGAGGCGGAGCTATTCCCTCGGAGGCTGCGGGGAAGTTGAAAAGGTAGAGGTGCCCCCAAAGTCCGACGTAGCCTCACTTCAGCACACTCCCCAATGCTCATCAGCCCCAGGTGCTGCTGGGAACTCGGCCGAATATTGCATCGTATGCTTCGATGAGACGGCACAGCTCTTGAAGACGTTCTGCCGTCAAAAGCGCATCGTGTGCCGCGACTGCTACACGCAGCTCAGCTTTGCCGAAGATGCTAATCTTCGACGCTGCCCGCAGTGCCGAAAAGATGACTTCTCGGCTGAAGTCCCGAGCCGTCATTGCATCCGGGATGTCGCCCGTCCCAGCACCAGCAGACGTGAGAGATCACGCTCAAGGCGGCGGGGCTAAAGGCGCCCCCTTTTCAATCCTTCTAATTAAGATTTGCAGGCCCATAGGCAGCCCACTTGTGGCCAGCGGGGCTTGCAAACAAAAAGAGAGTTGCTGTGCGCAAGTCCGATACCGTGACGAAAAGAACTTGCAACATGATCTAGGCCAGACCGCCAAGTCCGGTCTCCTGTTCTCATGTCACCAGCAGTTCGTTTGGTTTGCCGGCGGCTTTCGCTAGGAAGGGTGAGTTTCGCGTGACCGTTTGTCGATTCCTAAGTGCATCCAGTCTTCCCGAATCATGGAGGAGAAGCCTTGTCAACAGTGGCGTGCCCTCCCTTACCCAACGGCGGTATTTTGTGTGCATGCTAACCAAGCTCTGCATGAAGTCTTGGTTCAATTTAACTCTCCTTGGCGAGGCCTTCTCCACTGCCATGGAAAGCAGCACCAATCTTTGCCAAGACAAGTTCCCGATGACTACGCTTAACGCAAACGCTCCAAACCTTATATCGAGCCCCAAGTGCTTTCCTAAACTCCCAAACTTGCACCAAAGGTTATCAAGTCTATTCAATACCCATGACAAATGTTTGCTTGCTTGTTGCCAAGACGCCGGGCAAAGCACGAGAGCTAGTCTGTCAACCCTGGCCCCAAGCTCTCTGCCACACTCATAGATGTCAACTTTCGAGCAACTTGCCAGCTCCAAAACGAAGACCGTGAACCGAAACCCAAAAATGGCTAAAACCATCAATCGAGTGAGCTCGGTTTCCCTGAGCTCATGCAGGAAGTAACCTTAACCAACGCGGCAAAAATCGACATCCTACTTCTCTTGTAAGAGATGGGAGACTGCGTGATACCTCGGACATGAATACTTGCGGTCACATTCGACATTCGACAAAGCCAGGGACGCATGATAGTCGAAACCCCATCCCAGACACCCGCAAAAGAGCTCGCTTTATGTTAAGAACCTATGTCTCCCCGTCTGTCTCTCTCGATGTATATAGGTACATATATGTACACACACATACACCCTTACGTAAGGAGTCTTAGGCTCTCTTCAAATGTCCATCGCCAGGCACTGACACAGTGCACAAAACTGGACGGCTTCAGTAGCCTGGCGAGCAGACCGTCGCTGCGGCTGTACCCTGATGGAGCCTCGGCCTCTCCTTGGTAAAGGGAAAAGCAACAAGGATAACTGTCTGGTGCTCAGTAGGGAATGGGGGAATGGATTATAGGGACTACTATAAGGGACCTTAAGGGACTATCATAGGGATCCATTCCCCCATTCCCTACTAAGCACCAGACATATAATAACGGTAATGATGCGCCTCATCATGTGTTGTCACTATCACCACCATCATTGGCCATTACCATCGGAAGCACAAGCAGCCACGACAACAGGCAATAGCAATGGTGGTTTTCACAAACGTAGTAGAAGCCGTCGATCTACATGGCTGGGTTGAGGGCTTAAGGTCGTTAAGGCCCCGTGTTTGGGATATCTTCGGGTTCCGGACGCGCTCTGAAGAGCGCAGGCTTGAGCCGGAGGTTCAGAGTGCATCTGTGTGCACTCGAACCTTGAACCTCCGTCAAGGGTGGAGTTCCTCCTTGTTGCCAGCCTGACTCTGACCAGTGTTGCCGTTGATAAGCCCTCAGCAGAAGCAGAAACACTGAAGACGACGAGGACCACCACCACCACCACCACCACCACCACCACCACCACCACTACCAACAACAAAGTAAACAGCAACAGCAACAGCAACAGCGCCAAGAGCAAGAGCAAGGGCAAGAGCGCGTGCTAGAGCAAGACCATGAGCAAGAACAGCGGGTACTGTGAACCTGCCAATTTGTTGAGGCAATCTGCTCCCTGACTGGCGCGGCTGGGAAACCCAAACGGAGCCGGGGCCGATCCGACAGGCGCGGTGAGGATCGGGCGTAAATTTAGTGATTGGGCTCTCAAGTTAAAGTTTGTATGGGTTTAGCTTAAGAAGCTCGTGGGCGGGGTGGTGTGGTTTCGGGAAGGAATAAACAATAACGTATTTGTTAGCAGGCACGGAGCTTTGGCCAATGATTTTGGTTGACTTTCGTCGTGTGTCTTGTGCCCCGGTGGAGAAGGTCCATCTTGGCCGTATTGTATGCTATTCACTATATGCCAAAATGCATTGTACATGATATCTTATAATAATAGGTGTGTGTATTTGTATATATATATATACATATATGTTTTGTATATGTTTTGTGAGAGGAACCCAAGTCCTTCCAGGAGCAAAGCTGCGCGTAGAAGGAGGGATCATGAAGAAGTAGGAAGGCGCCCAGGCTTTGCTGCAGAAAGCCAGTATGGCTGGCCGTACATCGCGGACGATGCCCCCCTCAAGTCATGGGTTTAGGGTTTAGGGGGTTCCTGCCCTGCATTGCTGCAGAGGTGCAGGATGAGCTTGAACAGCTTCATGCTGCTTGGATTGTGCTCGTTTCCAAGGGCCCAGAACCCACAACCCTAAAGCCTAAACCCTCCTTTCGCTTGGCTGGCCGTGAGCGCCGAAACACTCAACCTAGATTGCCTAAGTGAGTGGGGTCTGTCAGAGGTCGAGGTGGCTTCCTGCACCCAGTCGCAAAGGGATGCATGAAGTTGGCTTTGTGTCGACAGCTTTGTACCAGCCGAGGTGACCGCAGAGAAGGCTCAGGCTCGTTGGTTTGCAGCTCGTCGTTGTCGTCGTTTACATCACGCTGGAACTGTGTAAACATCAACAAAGTCGAAATCCTGAAATGATACGTTGAAGCATTGAAGATGAAGGTTGAAAGCAGTCCGTCATCCTCTGATGGTGTCCATCAGGTTTGTTTTCGTCGTTTCCAGCTGCATCGTGTTCGTCATTGTTCATCTATTGTTTCTCGGATGCGGCAGGTATTGCCGGTGAGCCTAGACTCCTGTCTGACAATTTCACTCGTTGCAACAATGTCCTTCGTGCACAGTCAGTGTCCGAATCTCGTGTAAGAGTTTGCATCGTCTTCTTACTCTTGCCTGCGCATAGTCCGTGGCCTCCTGTGTTCGAAAAGTAGAGCAGCCCACGACTGCTGGACATCGAGATAAGCGAAGCGCTTGGCTGTCAGTCTTTGCAGCATATCAGGATGTGCCACCCCGCATTACACCTGTGAAGCATCTTCACTTTCCGCATGACGAGTGTAGATGTCATCGGTTTGGCATGTGCGACTACTCATGTCAGTTAGGAATAGGTTTTCGTCCTCATGCCACGCCATTGAACCATATTAAACCTTGAAAACCGGCCCTAACATGGACTGCAAATTGAAACTGTGCATATCCCAGTTCCTACTTCAAACATCGCCTGTGAGCATAGTTCTCTGCCATGCGAGGCGGAAGAAAAAAAGGCAACAGTCCCAGTCATCCCTTGAAAACCCTTGCGCTCTGCGCAGGCCATGTTGGAGAGCCTCATCGCGCCTAAGGATCACGCCTGGAGGCTTGAGGATATGTGTTTGGCTTCGAAGGTTGGATTTCGAATCCAAAGGTCGACGAATGTCTGTATGAGGTGAGAAGATGTCCATTAAACGGCTTTTCGGAAAGCACGCCGATCCCGTCGGTCGGTCATGGGGTTTTGGCAGACACGAAGCTGAAAATCCAACATCTAGGCTTTCGACTCACTCAGGATAGGCAGCAACATTTCGCGAGTGAGGCTGCTGTCGCTGTTTTGGTTGTATGGGTTTACTAATTTCAGGGTCGTGACGCGCAACCTTGGCCGCAAAATTGTGCAGCGCAGGCCGGGGGAGCTGCGGCACAAGCCGAGTGGGGTGCCAATGGCCAGCTTTGCGTACAGCCATGGCGTCAAGTCCATGGAGGTGGCTTTGGGATACGCCATCTCTCTCTCTCTCTGTATATATATATATATATCATTCTGTAGTGACTCGCCAAGTGCATGCCATTCATGCCTGTACGCATGCAGATGTATATGTGTGCATATGTATATATATATATATATATAGATATCTATATATAGATGTATATGCACACGCGATGTTTACACACACAAGTGTTTTTTAGAAAACATACATTTATGCATATAGATCTCTTGATATGTGAAACATTGCTGGACTTTACACTGGAGTGTAGAAGGGGTTGTACAGAACAGGTAATCCTGCAGACCTGCAAATCGAGCCGGCGAGCTATCTATATGGGCCCATATGGGTGTGCATATTTAAGTACACACCGGCTTACACTACGCATGCATGCATACATGCATACACATGTTTCCCATATGTATAGTGTCATTGCATTTCTTCATCACGGGTTACGGGTTCGAGAGGGCTTCAGGCAATGTGGCAAGAGGGCTCCTGCATGGCGAGTCGTTTTTGGTTTGAGTATTGGGGCTGGGGGGCTGTGGACGTGGGAGCATGCTTAAGAGTCATGCCGAGCCAACTTTAGAAGCTGTTTTAGCGCGTTGCACGAGCCGCCTGAGAGGCCGCCGACACGAAGCTCGGCTGCAAACTCTCATTTTGCACAGGACCCGTGATGCTCAATTGGAGTCGGGCTTCTTTGGATCATGGTAAACGAGCCCGAATCTAAGTCGTTTGATGTATCTGGCAAGTTGCATTCGAATGCACACCGGGATTCTTTCGTTGAGAATCGGCCTTTCCCTGCTTGATCTAGGATCGGTGAATTTGTTGTACTTTGCAGACTTCCCGTCCGAAACTTTAGAGCCCCACCATGGTTGTGCCCCTTACGCATGAGAGTCCAGACACACCACATGCACAGTAGGAGTCCGAAAGTTGGAAGCCCAACAGCTTCAATCCTTAAGTGTAATGTATAGGGACTCCCAGCACTAATTGTCCTTTGTCCTGTTTCCAACTTTTGGGGGTTTACTAAAAGCTAAGCCACGCAAAGTACGGTCTTAGCTCACGACTCTTCGGGAGGGTCTTCGGAGCTAGACAGTCTTATTCATGTGCTTCCATGCATATATCGCATATATCATTCACTCAACCTAGTGGACCCTGTGCCGCATCGTTTATAAGCTCTCTCTCTCTCT